TATCATATGGTTTCACTTATTTGTGGAGCATAACAAATAACATGGAGGACATAGGGAGATGGAGAGGAGAAGGGAGTTAAGGGAAATTGGAAGGGGAGGTGAACCATGAGAGACTATGGACTCTGAAAAACAATCTGAGGGTTTTGAAGGGGCGGGGGGTGGGAGGTTGGGGGAGCCAGGTGGTGGGTATTAAGGAGGGCACGTATTGCATGGAGCACTGGGTGTGGTGCAAAAACAATGAATTCCGTTATGCTGAAAAGAAATTAAAAAAAGAAGTAGTTGAACAATGGCCGAATGACTAATGACTAAAAAGCTAATCAAGGGGAAAGAGTAATAAATACTTTCTGAATAACATATATTAAATATATTAGCCTAAATTTAAATATGGCCTTCCTCCCAAGAAGCTGAGAAAAGTTTACATTTTGTTCTTCAAATATTTTTGTAAGTTATCTAAATAATGAGTTAACTAATAAAGATTCCTATTCTCATTGGAAAAAAAAAAGAAAATGCTCTTTATATATTAAGTGACAGAAGCAGAGTAGAATTGTATGTATAATATGTATTCCAATTATAAAATAGATAAATATATGAGGGCTTATGTGTGTGTGTGTGTATGTGTGTATGTATTTCTCAGTTATCTTTGTATATAGAAAATAAAAAAGGAAATGTGCCAAAATATTAACACTGTTTATCTCTGGATGGTGGGGTTATAGTTTATTAATGCTTTTCTGCTTTAAAATGTTATTTGCAATGAGCATATAGTATTTTATAATCAGAAATTTAAGTTTTTAAATTCCTGATCTAATATTTTTGAAGGGTTTTATTTTGGTACTGGTCAACACTGCAAGGTGAGGGGGCATCAATCTAGAGTCCAAAGAAGTTTTACCCAGTCATTTAACATGATCTGTAAAATGGGTAGAATCACATCTACTACACAGCGCTAGTGTGTGTGTGTGTGTGTGTGTGTGTGTGTGTGTGTGTGTGTAATAATAAATTTGACATTCTTTTGTAATACTAAAGCTTGATAAAGTTGTTAGTGGTGTTATAACAATAATAAAGTCCTGTGGCCCAAAAGAGGATACCTCAGGATAGCAGGTAGCTTTGTGTTGAGGAAGTTGGGTTGGGAGAGGAGAAAGGAGAGAGGATTCAGGAGAGGATTGGGAGAGGATTCAGGGAGAAAAGCGAGAGCGGTTTTTGCCAATGCTTAAGACAAACGATAACATGCTTGACCCCTTTTCTCCCTTTCCCCCATACTTTCCCTACATGCTTCAATGTTCCCTCTTGTGATCCAATCTTCCTTCTATCTCTCAAGCTGCCCTCACAAAAGGCAGCTTATAACAGATGGGCTCTAGTACATGTTAATGCAATGGTAGTTCTGTTTCACAATCTATTCTATTCCACACTCCCTGTGAAAGGAAGCTTATGTAGGAATGTGACCAGTGGTCTATTAAGGCCTATCTAGTCCCAGACTGGGAGGCATTTACTTCCACTCTGGATGATAAGAGTGTGTAATGAAAACAAGGTAACTTTTAGCTAGAACCATTTGTACTGAGCTATATCCTTCAAAAGGTGTTCTCGATCAATATTTTTGGGGTCTAATTCTATGGAAAATAAGATTTCACACACAGCAATGATTTTTTAAGTTAGTCAAAGGAGCCAAAGGTAGCCTGTCAAATTATTGTTACTTTTACATTTTAAAAAAAGTAATACCTGTAGTCAACTTACCCAAGAAAAACGAAAACATATATTCACAAAAAAAAACTGCACACAAACATTAATAGCTGCTTTATTCATAATTGCCAAAAACTGGCAATAACTCAAATGTTCTTTAAAAAAAAAAAAAAAAAGAAGAAGACACATTTATTCAGCATCACACTTAAGTGGGCACCAGGCCTTTGAGAATCTTCTCTTGAGACAGCCCTGTTTGGTTCCACAAACTCTTCCATCCACCTTATGTGGCCTCGAGTTCATGGCTGCATCCATTTCTCCCACATTGGCTTCCATGACAAACCCAAAGCCTCTGGAGCCCTTGGTGTTTGGCTCTCTCATTACCACACAGTCTGTAAGCATTCCCCATGGCTCAGGATGGCTCCTCAGACTCTCGTTGGTTGTTTCAAAGCTCGGCCCTCCGATGAAGAGCCTCCACAGCGTTCCAGACTCTTTGGAAGACTCTGACTTAGGCATGACGGTGGTGGGAGGGGAGACTAAGGATGCTTACTTGCTGGCGTCCACGAGCAGAAAGGAGTAATCTAATGAAGGTATCTCTCAAATGTTCTTAAACTGGTAAATGGATAAACAAACTTTGGTGCATCCACATAATGGAATACTACCTGCCATTATAGAATACTACCCATGATAGAATACTACCATAGAATACAGCCATAATAGAATACTACCCAGTTCATTCCAAAAAGGAATGAACTATTGATTAAACACAACAACATGGTCGGCTCTTAAATGTGTTATACTAAGTAAGGGAAGCCAGATCCAAAAGGTTTTAATTGTATTATTGCACTTGTATGACACTCTAGAAAAGGAAACTAGAGGGGAAAACAAATCAGTGGTTGTCAGAGGATGGGATTGGGGGAGGGGTTCTGCAAAGAGAGACTCAGAGTGAATATTGAAGGGTGATGGCACTATTTTTTTTAAAGATTTTATTTATTTATTTGACAGAGATCACAAGTAGGTAGAGAGGCAGGCAGAGTGGGGGGGGAGGGCAGGCTCCCCGCTGAACAGAGAGCCCGATGCGGGGCTTGATCCCAGGACCCCAGGATCATGACCTGAGCCGAAGGCAGAGGCTTTAACCCATTGAGGCACCCAGGTGCCCCGATGGCACTATTCTTTTTTTTTTTTTTAAGATTTTATTTATTCATTTGACAAAGAGAGAGAGATCACAAGTGGGCAGAGAGAGGAGGAAGCAGGCTCCCCGCTGAGTCCCAACTCAGGGCTCGATCCCAGGACCCCGGAATCATGACCCGAGCAGAAGGCAGAGGCTTCAACCCACTGAGCCACCCAAGTGCCCCCGATGGCACTATTCTTAATGGCGATACAAGTATATGCATTCGTCAAAACTCATAGAACAGCACATCAAAAAGTGAATTTTACTATGTAAATTTAAGAATTAAATTTATAAAAGTAAAAATAAAGTAACAGGTCCATGGTAAATTCAAACAATACAAGGAATTCGGTTAAAAAAAGTCTCCCTCCCAGAGCTTTACGGTGATACAAAAATTCTGCATTTTCCCCCCCTTGGTGATCTTTTTTTTTTTTTAATTTTATTTTTTATAAACATATAATATATTTTTATCCCCAGGGGTACAGGTCTGTGAATCGCCAGGTTTACACACTTCACAGCACTCATCATAGCACATAAAAATTCTGCATTTTGATTGCAGTGATCGTTATGTAAATCTACCCATGTGATAAAATGAGGTAGAACTATAACCATACTTTACACCCAAGCCAATTTCTTGCTTTTGGTATTATACCAGAGTTAAGATGTAACCCCCAGGGAAAGCGGGGTAAGGAGTAGGAAGATCTCTGGATTTTCTTTGCAATCTCCTGCATATATATACTTAAGTATCTCTCAACCAAACTTTCAATCTAGTCCAGCTCTCTGGAGGTGAACACTTAGAATTTCTTGTGTATCTTTTGCATAGTAATCCTTTATATGTGTATATATGCACATCTACACTTAACTTTTAATACAAACTAGCATATTACACATTGTCCTGCATTTCACTATTTTTCTTTTTTTAAGATTCATTTATTTTATTTTTTTAACATCTTAATTTAATTTTATTTTTTTCGGTGTTCCAAGATTCATTGTTTATGCACCACATCCGGTGCTCCATGCAATACATGCCCTCCTTAATACCCACCACCAGGCTCACCCATCCCTCCACCCTCTCCCCCTCCTAAACCCTGAGTTTTTTTCTCAGAGTCCACAGTCTCTCATGCTTCCTCTCCCCCTCCGATTTACCCCAATTCACTTTTCCTTTCCTTCTATGTCCTCCATGTTATTCTTTACATTCTACAAGTAAGTGAAACCATATAACTGACTCTCTCTGCTTGACTTTTTTCACTCAGGATAATCTCCTCCAGTCCCTAAGATTCATTTATTTGAGAGAGAGAGAGAGAGAGAGAGGAGAGGACAAGCAAACACAAGTGGGGTTAGGGACAGAGGGAGATGGAAAGAATCTCAAGCAGACTCCCTGCTGAGCACCGTCCCCCTTCTCAGGACCCTGAGATCATAACTTCAGTGGAACTCAAGACTCCCATGCTCTTGAGTCCCATGCTCTGACTGAGCCACCCAAGCACCCCTTCTTATTTTTCCACTGTTACTTTGGAGATATTTCCATATCACAAACACATGGATCCACATCACTTTTTTCCTGCTGCATAGTATTCCATCACATAGTAGCGTCACAATTTATTTTAACAGTTTCTTATCCATGGACATTTGGATCTCAACAAGGAGTTGAACTTAAGTAATACCTAAATTTTTAAAGCATAAAAGGTCAACCAGAGTTGAGACCAAATGTAAAGTTTTTACAGATTCGAGGCTGTCTCTGGAATATCTTTTGACCAGAAGGGGGAAGGCAAGAGGCAGGAGGAGAGGCAAAACGCTGGGAAATATCCCTGGCCAATGGGGAAGCGGTGGTGCCACAGGGAATTTACTGCCGGGTAGGAGTTCGCAGAGTGCCTCCCTACTGCTGGAGTAGGAGGCCGAGCTCCAAATCAAGCTTTCCTTAGGCTGCCACTCAGATTCACCCGTGTTTTGGGGGTTATGCGTGGTGCAGTGATGCGTAGCCACCTCCGGCCTCCTGCGGGGACCCCAGGCGGGGGCTGGGTTTGAGTCCCCATCGTCTACAGCCCACGCTTGCAGGGGGTGCACACGTGGTGACCTGCCTGCGGCCGGGTTGCCGGCTCCGGCTCCTCCTCCCTCCAGATCTCCCTCTGTTCTCTGCAGTATCACGTGCATCCGCGCCGGGTGCAGGATGGCGGCTGCGGCATCAGCGGTGGGTGTCAGGCTCCGAGACTGCTGCAGCCGAGGCGCTGTGCTCTTGCTCTTCTTCTCCCTGTCCCCTCAGCCCCCGGCCGCCGCCGCTTGGCTGCTGGGCCTGCGGCCCGAGGACACTGCTGGAGGCCGCGTGTCCCTGGAGGGGGGCACCCTGCGCGCGGCGGAAGGCACCAGCTTCCTCCTGCGCGTCTATTTCCAGCCCGGGCCCGCGGCGCCCGCGGCGCCGGTGCCCGCACCCACCCTTTCCCCGGGAGAGAACGGCACCGGCGACTGGACTCCGCGGCTCGTGTTCATCGAGGAGCCCCCGGGAGGTAGCGGCGTGGCGCCCAGTGCTGTCCCCACGCGCCCCCCGGGACCGCAGCGCTGCCGGGAGCAGAGCGACTGGGCATCGGACGTGGAAGTCCTGGGGCCGTTGCGCCCCGGAGGCGTGGCGGGTTCGGCTTTAGTCCAGGTGAGGGTGCGGGAGCTGCGCAAGGGCGAGGCAGAGCGGGGCGGCGCGGGCGGTGGCGGGAAGCTCTTCTCGCTGTGCGCCTGGGACGGACGCGCTTGGCACCACCACGGCGCCGCCGGCGGCTTCCTGCTGCGCGTCCGCCCGCGGCTGTACGGTCCTGGGGGGGGACCTATTGCCCCCAGCGTGGCTCCGGGCGCTCGGGGCGCTCCTGCTGCTCGCCCTGTCTGCCCTTTTCAGCGGCCTGCGCCTGAGCCTGCTCTCGCTGGACCCGGTGGAGTTACGGGTGCTGCGGAACAGCGGCTCGGCCGCAGAGCAGGAGCAGGCGCGCCGCGTGCAGGCCGTGCGCAGCAGGGGGACCCATCTGCTCTGCACCCTGCTCCTGGGCCAAGCCGGAGCCAACGCGGCCCTGGCCGGCTGGCTGTACGCGTCGCTGCCGCCGGGCGTCGGGGGCACCGGAGAAGATTATTACAGCGAGGCAGGGATTCACTTCCCGTGGCTGCCGGCGCTCGTCTGCACCGGAGCCGTGTTTCTGGGCGCCGAGATCTGCCCCTACTCAGTGTGTTCTCGGCACGGGCTGGCCATCGCTTCGCACAGCGTGTGCCTGACCCGACTCCTGATGGCGGCCGCCTTTCCCGTGTGCTACCCGCTGGGCCGCCTGCTGGACTGGGCGCTGCGTCAGGAGATCAGCACCTTCTACACGCGCGAGAAGCTGCTGGAGACGCTACGGGCCGCAGACCCCTACAGCGACCTGGTGAAGGAGGAGCTCAACATCATCCAGGGCGCCTTGGAGCTGCGCACCAAGGTGGTGGAGGAAGTGCTGACCCCCCTCGGGGACTGCTTCATGCTGCGCTCCGACGCGGTGCTCGACTTCGCCACCGTCTCAGAGATTCTGCGCAGCGGCTACACTCGTATCCCCGTGTACGAGGGCGATCAGCGGCACAACATTGTAGACATTCTGTTTGTCAAGGACTTGGCCTTCGTGGACCCCGACGACTGCACGCCACTACTCACCGTCACTCGCTTCTACAACCGGCCCCTGCACTGCGTCTTCAATGATACCCGGCTGGACACGGTGCTGGAGGAGTTTAAGAAGGGTGAGCAGTGGTCTATCTCCTCTCTCAGCTCCTTACCCCCTCAAAAATATTCATAAACATGTGACGTTTCAGGTGTGCAAAGCAATTCTCTTATGATAGCAAAAACTCAAAGGAAGGCCCCACCTTTTGGTGGCTATTTTCATTTCACTTTTCCTTATCTTCCTTGCAGCTGACTGAGCCCTAGCCTCTAACCTTTCACTTCGCTCACAAGACACTCTATATTCCTCATTCATTCCCTTTCAGGATTTTTCAGGATCTAACAATTGCCATGTACTGTGCAGGTTGGACTCTGTGGATAGTCCTTGGAGGTCATTGGGTAGCTCCCCACCCAATACACGAGGATCGTCTACACCGTTCTGTAATAAGCAGTCTTCCTTTTAAACTCTTCCGGGCTGGAAACACAATCTCCCAGGCAAACGAACTCCCTTGTTGGACAGCTCCAGCTGCTGATAATGTCTTTACATGGAGCAGAAAGTTATGTCTCAGGAACTTCTCTCTGCTTCATCTTTCTGTCCTTTGAATCACTAAGAGTGATAAGCCCCAGACTCCTCTAGTGGTTTTTTTTCCCCTTATTTAACATTCCCAGTACCTAGGCTGCCTTAAAAACTGATTAAGGGGGGCACCTGGGTGGCTCAGTGGGTTAAAGCCTCTGCCTTCGGCTCAGGTCATGATCCCAGGGTCCTGGGATTGAGCCCCGCATCGGGCTCTCTGCTTGGCCAGGAGCCTGCTTCTCTTCCTCTCTCTCTGCCTGTCTCTCTGCCTACTTGTGATTTCTGTCTGTCAAATAAATTAATAAAATTAAAAAAAAAACTGATTAAGGCAGCGAGGTCCTTGTACTTCTGGGAACCCAGGTCCCATAAGGGAGGGTTGATCTGGATGAGAAATAGTCTGGTAAAGGGAACCACTAGAAAATTTGCATATACAAATGAATGGGGTTTCTTTCAGAGTAGTCACCACTCCACCCCTGTCATGTCTATAGCATGTTTACTACTGTCTGGGGTTTGCCTTTAGAAACTGTCTTCTGGAGCTGAGTACAATTCACTCAAGAAAAATCAGCCTGTATTCTTTAGGATCGGTCTTCTTGGGATTACGCAGTTTGACTGGTTCTCCTAGTTACCCAGAAGGACACTTGATTGTTTTTGAAAATCAAATCTACCTTCAAGAGTCACCACTGAGTGCAGAAGACTATCTTACAGACCCTGAAAACAATTCCAGGAATGAGTTGAGAACAATGACATGGTTAGAGTAAGTGTAGAACCTTCTAGAATGACCACTTTGAAGGAGGCATTCATCTGTACATATGAGTTAGCATGTTTAATGAAAAAACAAAAAAATCAATCCCCTGATTTTAGAATCAAGCTTCAAATGTAGATTCCCTGTGGTTAGCAGGAATCACATTTGGCATATCTTTTTTAAAGTTTTTTGTTTTGTTTTGTTTTGTTTTGACAGACAGGGATCACAAGTAGGTGGAGAGGCAGGTAGAGGGAGAGGAGGAAACAGGCTCCCCGCTTAGCAGAGAGCCCGATGCAGGGCTTGATCCCAGGACCCTGGGACCATGACCCAAGCCGAAGGCAGAGGCCTTAACCCACTGAGCCACCCAGGTGCCCCACATTTGGCATATCTTGACATATCTTTTTGTTTATCAAAAATTCAGTCATATTACTTTATCATCACAGGTGCTCTTTAGGACTTTCATACAATGAGAAAACTTGGGTCTTCCTCCTGCCACAATTTTTTTAGACAGATAATATTGTGTTAAGTATCAAAGTGTAGCCTGAAGGGGGAGAGGGTGTTGAAAACCTATTTTCAATCAAAGCTGTAGACTTCTTGTTGGTATCATGAGAAGGGGAGAGAAATGTGTACATATTACAGCTGTTTTAGCCCAATCTGGGCTACTATTTCACCTTCTTAATCTGTCTCCCCCAAGTCCTTGCATGACTCATTCTCACTGTACCCTTACGTTCATTCATCCACTCTTAGAATTATTCTTACATGTTTTAAGACTCCTACAGAAATGAGTCTTGGATCTGGGCATAAAAACTGTGCAAATCTATATATTAATTTGCAAGAACTACTATAACAAATCCCGTAAACTGAGCGGCTTAGACAACGTAAGTTTATTTCCTCATAGTTCTAGAATCTGGAAGTCCAAGATCAAGGTGTGGGCAGGTTTGGTTTCTTCTGAGGACTCTCTTTTTGGCTTGCAGATGGCTGCCTTCTCTCTGAGTCCATCCACGGTCATCCTCCAGTTGTGTGAGCTCATTCCTGGAATCTCTGTGGTTCTAAGCATTTCTTCTTTTATAAAGATATCAGTCAGGTTGGATTGGGGCCCACCTTATCAGCCTGATTCTGACATAACTATCCCTTAAACATGATAGTTAAGACAGAGTGCAGTTAAGATAGTATATGTCATGTGCTACTGGAGGACATTTTTCATGAAACTCCTGTAAACTCATTCATTCATTCATTTACTATTTATTATCTATGGAGTAGGCAATAGGCAAGACAATAACAGTGCCCTTAGAAAGTTAACAGTTTACAAGGATGTACCATGTCAGAAAAAGGACAGTATTCAAGCAGGAATTGTGTCTCACTAACCTGCTTTGTATCCCTAGCACCTTGCACATAGTAGGCTGCCCAAAAAAGTCAGTACTGATCTGAAATGAGCAGTGCTGCAGAATATCTAAATCTTGTCTGAAAAAGGCTTGTCAGTGTTCTATCAGCAGTTAGTTTGTACTTAGATTGCTAAAGAGAAGCTGGCAATTACAGTGCACACCATGCCGATGAAGAGATTTCCACACCTCTTCAGAGCCTTGCTCCTTACTCGCGGTGAGCTACTGAAACCAGCAGCATGGGCTTCACCTCAGACCTTGGTAGACATGTAGAATTTTCTACCTCATTTTAAATCCACTGAATGAAAATCTGCACTTTAATAAGCCCCCAGGTGACTCATGTGTACATTAAAGTCTGAGAAGCACTGCCTCCAGAGAACCCTTATTAATAGTGATTGGTAGGTTTACTTAGAATAAATACAAGGAGTAAGTATCAAGTTGAGTGTTCTCTGGCTTCATGCCATATAACACGGTCATTTGCTTAACACGGTCATTTGCTAAACACGTGTTTGCACCATAGATTAGGAAAGGAAAGCTGCGTTGAGCTACTTTTCTTTACCCTTAAAGTAAGTCATAAAAGCCCTTCTGTTTCCCTCACTTCTTTGCATCTCAAGTATCTTAACTAAGCAAACCCCTTAGGAGGTAGGGGAGGAAAATGACAAATAGGAACAACAATTACCATTAATTGAGCCGACAGCTCTGATAGGCACCCTGCCAGGCCCTTTATGTACTCAGAATGACCTTCCTGGGTGGGCATTATCAACTCCATTTTATACTAAAAGAAGAAACTAAAGCTTAGTTCCATTACTTGACTTAGTCAAGTCCCCACAGTTGATAACTGAATTGTGATTTGACCTAGATCGGCAGGACCCCAGAACCTGTTCTTTTTCCCACTACACCAGTCACATTCCATCCTCCACCCCACAGGCTTCAAAGGCAGCCTTTCACCTCTGGCTTGCTGTCTCTGGCTGATTTACCTCTAGTTTTCATAGATTAGAAATGGAGCTTTTATAATTACAGTGATTGCTAATATGTATTTTACAAAATAAATATATTTTACAAAATAAATGTAATATGCATTTTACAAAACTTTCTACTTATCTTCTCTTATCTGATGCATAAAACAACTCTGCAGTTACAGATGAGGACCCCAAGACCCAGAAAGGTTGCTTGGCCTATCTAAGACCATCACCTAGCTAGTATTCCAAGGCCCAGATTCAAATCCAGGTCATGTGACTCCAAAGGTCTTATCCATATGGGATTTTTACCACTATACTTCTTATGAGCTCCAGGTCTTTAGAAATGGGGAAAAGGAAAAAGGTCTTTCTAGCTAGCATGCTAGCTTTACTAAAAAGAACAGTATTTATCCCCACTGGACTGTGAGCTCCTAAAAGGCAGACAATGAATCTTATTTATTTTGTATTCTCAGGACAAGCACAGTGGCCATCAATGCAAGGGGGATGAATAGAATATTTATTGAATGAATGGTTTTAAGTAGCTAATTTCTACTGTATTTTTTGTTTGAGTAAGGTGAACCCAAAGTATAGGATAATTAGTGTTGTTCCATTGACCATAACCAACCTCTCCTTTTCCCAGATTCTCTACCCCAGTCAGTGGCACCACTGCCCCTCCAGTCTCCCAAGTGAGAAAGGCCCCCTTCACCCCTCACCCTCATCCTACTAATCACTGTCTTAGTCTGCTTGGGCTGACATAACAAAATATCATGGACTAGCCAGCGTAAACAGACATTTATTTTCTCACAATTCTGGAGGCCAGAAGTCCAAGATCAAGGTTGCACCTGATTCGCTTTCCTGTGAGAGCTCTCTTCCTGTCTTCTCACTACGTCTTCATATGGCGTTTCCCTCAGTACATGTCTATAGAGAGTGCAAGTTCTGGTCTCTCTTCCTCTTACAAAGACAGCAATCCTGTTGGTTTAGGGCCCCACCCTTATGATCTTATCTAACTTAAATTACTTCCTTAGACACCCCACTGGGGAGGGGTGTTAGTGCTTCAACATATGAATTTGGGACGGTGGAGAGAGAGACATTCAGTCCATAACAATCACCAAAGTCTGCCAAAAATTTGCCAAAATTGCATCTAAAATATTTCTTGAATCTATATATGATAGAGTCCACTAATTCTTTCACTTAGGTGAGTCATGGAGTTTAATCAAGAAATAGTTACTGTGGGGCGCCTGGGTGGCTCAGTTGGTTAAGCGACTGCTTTCAGCTCAGGTCATGATCCTGGAGTCCCGGGATCGAGTCCCGCATCGGGCTCCCAGCTCTACGGGGAGTCTGCTTCTCTCTCTGACCTTCTCCTCGCTCATACTCTCTCTCACTGTCTCTCTCTCAAATAAATAAATAAAATATTAAAAAAAAAAAGTTACTG